TCAAATTCTTCTTTAAGAATAAAAAAATCCCAACAAACTGAAGAAGAGTAGAGAACAGACAATTCCCTGAGTCTATAGCCCTGAGAAATTCTTTAAGCTTAGAGCCAAGTGTATCCTCTGAAGTTCTGGTTACTGCATGCTGCTCTAACAGAAAATAACACAGGTGGATGGCTTTAAAAACAGGAGTTTATTCTCTTGCAGTTTTGGAGGCTAGAAATCTGAGTTCAAAGTGCCAGGCCCTAGGGGCTGAGTAAAAGCCCCTTGACCTTAGACTTCAGTTCTACCTCTTGCTCCTGGCCCACTGGAGCTAGAGGTGTTTCTTCACTCAGGCAGCTGCTAACTGCTGAGGCTGATGAACCCGAGGTCGACAAGTGAAAAAGCACAGTACTGATATTAGCAAACCACACAGCAGACCATTGATTCAAGTCCATTAAGAGTTCTGCTTTGGTTACCTAATGCCACTCTGACAGGAATATGCCACCAATGGGATGGCTTGAACAAACAGGAGTTTATTCTTTTACAGTTTTGGAGGCTAGAAGTCCAAGTTCAAAGTACCAGGCTCTAGGAGCTGGGTAAGCTCAACCCTGGCTTCAGCTCTGCCTCAGGCTCCCGGCCCACTGGAGCTGGAGGCTTTCTTCACTCAGGTTGGCAAACCCAAGGTCGACGAGTAAAAAGCACAGTCCTGATATTACTAAACAATGTGGCAGTTCATTAATTCAAGTCCATTGAAAGTCCCAAGATCGCCCCAACATGAGAGGCTACTGAAGGAAAACTTGGCTACATGCAGGGTTCAGGTGTGCCAAAGAGTTAGAGACCATTCCCCAAGCTGCTACTCATATGTAGGAAGCAGACCACATCCCTAAAGCAGCTACTCAGCTGCTTGTGGTAGATTCCGCCATGGAGTTGATAGCCTGTCTCATTACGGGAAATAACTATCACCAGCTGCCCAGACACTCAACCAGGCCCAGCCAAGTTGACACACAACCTTAACTACCACAGTCCCAAGACTGACAGACAACTTGGCAGGCTGCTGAATAACGACTCGGCTACATGCAGGAGTCAAGCATGCCAAAAGCCGGAGATCATTCCTAAATCTTTTCCATATTTACTGGGAGTGAACCACAACGCTAAGGTAGCTACTTAACTGCTCAAGGCAGATTACACCATGGAGTTGATTACCAGTCTCATCACGGGGAATACTACATCCAGCTGCCCAGATGCTCAAAACCAGGCCCAGCCAAGTTGACACATAATCTTAACTACCACACCTGAGATCACCCTTTAGGTAAATAGCAGAGTGACACACAAAATAAAAGATACTGTTTGTAAGATTGATGCTCTACTTAAAGATCATCAGTATGGGATCAAAAGGTCAACAATTACTCAAAAGCAAAGATGAGTGGATAAGAAAGCAGGGAAACTAGAATACTAGGAGTAGAACAAACAGAACACAATTGAAGTAAATATTGATACATTATGATAAATGTAACTAATGTCGCTGAAAAATTTGTGTGGAAATTGTCAAATGGGAACATAACTTGCTTTGGAGGGGACTCTCTGTTGTGCTGTTGTTGTGTGCCATTGATTCTGACTCCTAGGGAGCCTATATGAGAAAGTAAAATTGTTCCCGTAGGATTTCTTGGCTATAATTTTTACAAGAGCAGATCTCTAGTTCTTTCATCCAAGAAAGTCACTGGTAGGCTCAATCACCAAACTGTCAGCTAGCAGGTGTACATTTAACCATTGCAAAGCACACCCCCTAAATAACATTAAAAATCTTTTTCTACTTTTTCAGAATTCCTGTAACATAAATCTACTTATATTGATTCTCACAAAATACTCATCTGGAATTTAATATGTAGTTTGGATGCAATTCAGGATTCTACCAGAAATACAGTAGTACATATTTAGTACTTACGTTTTCATTAAAAAACAGATATCCATGTTGTTTTAAAAATAGTTCTAAATCTTCAGCCACTATCACAAATTTTTCTTCACTTTGATGACTTTCTAACAGTGGAAGAAATTACTTGTGTAGGCATCTAAATAGAACAATTCTAGGAGTGCTAGCTTAGTAGTTTATGATGTTCTCATCTAGTCACACTGTCAACGTAATATAACTTGTTCATGAAGCTCTTTTTCAGTCAACTCAGGAAAGTCAGGAATATAGGGATAGATGAGGTTTTACCCAAATGATATTTTGATGCTTTGTTCACATTGTACTATAGAAAAAGAAGGAGACTCTTGAAAGTGCCAAACAACAAACTGAGAATACTTTGAAAGAAGGCAATGACATACTTTATGAAGCCAACCACCTTACAGATGGAATCAACGCAGTGATAGATGTAAGTATTTGATAAAGTGCCGGGTTAAAAGAACAATAATAACAACAGCGGTACTTATACATGGGAAGCAGTGTTCAACCTCAGTATTATCATCAATGCTGCATTCTATCTATCTATCTGTATTTTTTTTACTTACCTTCACTGTCTTCTTCATTTGATTTTCTGCTGTTCTCACACACACAAATCTGATTTCTTTTAACAATGATAGTGAAAGATATCTATTTTTCCTAAGGCAGTCCTTACAATCTGCTTTAATATCTATATAACATTAATTAAAAGATAAATGTAAATCTAAATCTACAAACAGACTTGTTAACATAGTGTCTAATGAATTATATAAAGTAATATATGGTAATAAAACTGTAGATGGTCTAACAGTTCCTAATGACTCTTTCACGCATTTATACCTAAGATATAAAAAACTTTTTAGAGAGTTAGGTTCCTCTTGGTATAAATTGGCTTCATAAATTTCCTAATCACTATCATTAAATAATTGCTTTTATTCTTTATTCTCTTTTTGTCATGTTACTAAATTTAAAGTTCCATTTTTTTAAAAAAAAAGGTATAATCATGGCTTACAAAGGTATTGAAAAATGAGAGGCTTGGAGTTGCTTGCTTAAAGTGTTCTGTCTTTTCTATATATATTAGTATGTTGAAGATATTCAAACTAAACTGCCACCAATGTCTGAGGAGCTTAAGGATAAAATAGATGACCTCTCCCAAGAAATCAAGGACAGGAAGCTTGCTGAGAAGGTGTCGCAGGCTGAGGGCCATGCTGCTCAGTTGAATGACTCCTCTGCTGTCCTTGATGGGTATGTCATTTGTTGTTGGAAAATGTCTGTATATTGACACTTGTTCAAAAGTTTTGTGTTAAAAAAAAGAATGGCAGAAAATTGCTTTCAAATCTTTATTCTGTAATTATGAACATACGAGCTACAAAGCCTTTCTGTGGAAGAGCCTAATTAGGTGGATCTGGGCAAAGTTCTATTGGAACAGCATCAAAAGTCTGTGTTAAAAGTGGATGCAAATATGGCTTGGTAGGGAGTGAACATAGCCCTAGGCTAGACTTAGAAAAATGTATTTTCTGTTCTCTATTAGAAAGCACAGTGATCATCTTATTAGCACTTTAAATAATGATATGTAAACACACATTCTCCTTCAAATTTTAACTTTATATTTCCAAATGGTATATACACATTTGAAGGATGGCTTTGGAAAAATGTGGCTCCATGCATAACTAGTGAGTTTTAATCTTGTTTCTGTTCCAAACTCCAGGGAGACACTGTATCTTCTTCACTGTGTAATAGCTCTTTATACCTGGGATTCTTAAATGTGTCAGAGGAGGAAGGGGCAAGTGGTGGGAAGGGCATGTACAGTTAGTAAACAGCTCTCTAGGTTAATTTTGATATACTTCCCCTACTTTAGTATATCGAGCCATTTGGGTATTATAGCATAGTGCCTAAGGCATTTGACTGCTAACCAGAAGTCTGGCGGTTCAAACCCACCAGCCACTCCTCTGAAGGAAGGTTGGGCAATCTGCTTCTGTACTGATACTGCCTTGGAAACCCAAGGAGGGGTCACTATGAGTCGGGTCTGACTTGACAGCACATAACAACAACAACAACAGTGACCCCAACAATAATTTTTTGAAATTTATTTGTATTTAATTTCTCCCATGTGCAAGGCTTAATGCTTAATATTTACTTACTTAGCGTGCCATAACAAACTAGAACACAGGAAGCATTAAAGGACGGAAATGTATTTTCTCACAGATCTGAAAGCTAGAAGTTCAAATCAGAGTTTTGGTATATAGATTCCTTCTGAAGACCTCTCTACTAATCTTTGGTTTCTGCTGGCAATTCTTACTGTTCCTTTGCTTATTAATGCGTCCTTGTTTGGCATCTGTCCTTCCCTATACCTGCCTATGTCTACTCTGCTCCTTTCAGAAGATACCACTCAGAAATTCTTGGGTTTAGGACCCACCCTACTCTGGTATGACCTCATGAAAATAACAAAGAAAACCCATATTTCCAAACCACAACCAAACCAAACTCTCTGCCGTCCAATGAATTCGACTCATAGCAATCTCTCCTTGAGTTTCTGAGGCGGTATCACTACAGAAGTAGACTGCCCCATTTTTCTTCCAAGGAGTGGCTGGTGGTTTGAACCGCCAGCCTTCTGGTTAGCAGTCAAGTGCCATAGGCACTATGCTACCAGGTACTTGTCATCTAGTCTGTTCCTACTCATAGGGACCCTATAGGACAGAATAGAACTGTCCCTTAGGGTTTCCAAGCCTATAATCTTTACAGAAAGAGACTACCACATCTTTCTTCCACAGAATGTCTGGAGGGTTACAACTACCAAACTTTCATTTACCAGGCAAACATTTAATCACCATGCCACCAGAGTTTCCAAAACATGTCTTTTTTAGGGACACCATTCAATCCATGAAATACTCATATGGTACAAAGGAAAATATTGATATTTTTAAATTATTGGCATTATATCCACAACACATTGCATAATTTACAGCAAAGTGTAGTAGATGAAGCAGTAAGCTAGAAGTCAGAGGACCCAAGTTCTAATCCTTAATAAGTTATTTATTATTAGTCATGTGACCTGGGACAAGCCATTTAAAGTTCCTGACATTCATTTTTCTTCATCTTGAAAGTATGCCTAACCCATGGAGATTTTGTGAAAATTTAGTCCAGCAAGGTAGAGCAAGTGGTCTGAATGAAAACTGTAGAGTGCTTCACAGATAAACATAGGGATTGTCTCACTCCATACACTTGAATGCTGCCCAAGGGCATAGATGATTTTGGACGATGCTGACAATATTTAAGATATGTTGGTAGTAGTCATTACACAACATGGTTAATGTAATAGATATCACTAAATTATACACCTGAAAACTGTTGAAATGGCAAATGTTGTTTTATACACACACACACGCACACACACCCCAACAAAACTAAACCCACTGACATCAGGTCGATTCCAACTCATAGCAACTCCGTTGGGTTTCCAAGGTGTTAAATCTTTATGGAAGTAGACTTTCCTTCTATGGAGTGGCTGGCAGGTTTGAACCACTTACCTGGGGAACAGTCAAATGCCTTAGTCACTGCGCCACAGAGCT